TTATTTGTGGAAAAATAGGAGGGAACACCAAGTGTTCCACTGCGAGCTCTTGAGTGAAAGGCAGGATAAAAATCAAGTAAAGGTGATAAATATTTAAATACAGTTCTTTTCCATATATTTAAGTGGAGTTCTCTACTTGGAAAATTAAATTTGATAATAAATTTTACTTTTGTCATAAACATTACTTTGTGAAAATATCATGCCAAAATCATTGTACGTAGAAGATTGTAGAGATAATGCTGATGAAGGAAGGAACTGTTAGCAGAATTGTTAAAAGATAATAAAGAAGACAGTAAATGATATCTCACAACTAGGAAAGGAGGGACCATGAGAAAGAGTTTCAAAATAAGCCCACCTTGATTCTGGACAGCGGGGGCAGAGGGGAATTCTGCAGGTCTTCAAAACTCTGTTATACCCAACAACAGTATTGTTCCAGCAGTTCTTGTAATATGTTTCTTGATCTGATCTACCCTGAAAGACTGCTATTAAAGTTCCCAAAACTTTCTGTGATGGACTAAATGAAAGTAAAAAGTTGTGAAAAAAATCTTAGGAAGTATTATACTTGGTCTATTTCTTTTATAGAGATTTGCATGCTCATAGCTTTCCAATCTCCCCATTTGCAAGTTTGAAATACTTCTAGATTTGATTACTGATTCATTAAAAGCAAAGTTAAGAAATATCTTTCTTCTTTCTTATTATTATTTCATTTTAATAGTCAGTATAAGTAGTTCAGTTAAAGTTAATAACGTATCAGATGTTTAAAATGTATTTAAAGTAATTCAGTGATTTTAGATATACTGTATTATATGTTTTCCTTTTGTGGCACCCAAGTTATAGAAAATGAGCCCAAGATTGCTCAAATTACACAAAGCCAGCCCAAGGTTGATGACTATATTGATGACTTAATGTGGGGTTGCTAGCCTCTCGTTTTTATTACTTTTGATTCCTGTTTAAAATAGTTTTATTTTAAACGCTTCTACCAGTACTCCCTTATTCCTATAAATGTTTAATGATGGGATCTACTTTGGGGCCCAAATCAGTTAGCCGTGTTCAGAATATTAGATTTTCACTTAAAGCTGTTTAGTCTCTGAATGTATTATACAAGTGAATTAGGTATATGCTATTGAGGAATATTTATTTCTAGACTCTTAGCAAAATTGTATTAGATCTCTGTCATTAGTATAGCCAGGCTCAAATTTATAAACTTTTAAACATAGAATGCTGTAATGTTGCAAATGTTTATTTCAGTTTGTTTTAACAAGGTGTTCTTGGAGGATTGTAGGCATTTGTTATTTTTTTTGTCTGATGTATCATTAATTGAATCTTTTTAAAAGAAAACATTGTGGTTTCTAATTATATCAGTCACAATATAGTGTTTAGAAATTGAACCCATTGTATACACGGGATAGAAATAATATGGTTGATTGGCTCCTGTTTCCAGACTGTCATTTTTTGTTTTGTACACTCTTTCTTTGCCAGTTTAACCAAATGTATGTTAAACAGCTGAAATACCTACCTCTTCCAATTCTCAGAAGAATATGATTATATTTATTAGATTTCCAGTTTCATGCTTTACCGTCATTCATTGCATATTGATGATAACCAACTGAGCTAGATCATATTTCTTCAAAAGATGTATATATATCAGCTTAAAATTTGGTTACCTTTAAATCTTTATTTCAGTGACTAATAAAATCCTTTATTCTATATAATTAAAGAAATAAATGATTTGTCTTGCAAATTATTAAAACAAACATAACCATAAGCAGAAAGAGAGAATGCATTTGGATCCAAAGACGGCACTATTATAGAGAAATAGATTTGTGTTTGAAATACAAAACCATTGGCTAATCTTTCTTACAGGGATTCAATAGGAATCAAATGGAAGTAAGCTATTTCAGATAAATGTGAGAAAGATCTAAATGAAATGAAATACCTTTAGTTTAATTTAAACTGAGTTCATATCTAACATGAAATATGAATTGAGCCAGTGTATTTGTAAAAATAATACATTTCTTGCTATGCTCTTTATGTAAGGAAAACTAGGTTGGGAAGAGAGGAAGGGTCTACTTTTGAACCTGCATTCTCAAAATTGGGAGAATGTTAATGTAACATATTGGCACCAACTTCATTTTTCATAATTCTTTAACCTTTTTCCTGAAATTTAGTATGTTTTTTTTTTGTCTTGGAATAGGTCTATGAGATAAACCATTTTCATAAAACTCCCCTTTATAATAGAGGTAATTATAAAGTAAATAATTTCCCCCATCTAAGTATTTGAAGATTGCTCTTATACCAAAAATATTGTGTTCATTTTTTGAAATACCAGCTTTCTCCAGTTACAAAGGCCAGTGGCTTTAGAGTTGGAATCACAAGAAGGACAGATCCCTTATGTAAACATGAAACAGATGTTTACAACTCCCAAGGCTGGAAAGAGAATAGTTAAAATCTGTTGACTCGGAGGGGAAGGAGGCAAAAGTCAGGATTTAAACTCTGGGCTTCACATGAAAAATATTGATTCTTATGTACTTTTTATGTTCTTTTTTAGCAGTAAAGCATGTTATCTAGCCATGTTGAATCTGAAAATTTTGCTTTTACTCAAGGTAGAACTTAGTTTCTAGTAGCTGGTTTTTGTTGTGCCTAGAGTGATGTCTGATACCAGTTAGGTACATCAAGATGGGGAGAGTGGCTCCCAAAATTTCTCAGCCATCATATTTTTATGGAAATTTTTGGGAATACATTTGGAGGGCACAAGTTAGAGAAGACTATACATTGTATCATATTCTACTGTATAATTATCTACTATAGAGTTTAGGTATATGTCACACTTTTTTAGAATGTATAAAACCTGTTTTGGTCACCTCAATATAACCAGGATGTTGAGATTATAGAAAGAGTACAGAAAGTACTACAGTACTGTAGTTTCATTTGTTCCTGATGTATAAACAAGCACTTCCCCAAAAGCTGCCAACCACATGTATCCCAGCTCTGTAACAAGTAACTAGGGTTGATTAGTAAGTCTCCATTCAGTTTGTCTGAAATTGAAAAGACTGTAAGCAGTTACAAGCACACATTCCTGCAGTTGAAAACCTAGTGTTTTTGATACTGGAAATGTAATATTTTGTATGTCTTTTATGTAAGTTCCATATATGTCTGTCTGTCTGGAAAATGTAATCTTTTATCTATATAAATCAGTCAGTCTGCCTGCCTGCCTGCCTGTCCGTCTGTCCATCCATCCATCTATGCCTAATTCTTTTTTCACCAGTTTTTACTGTAATTTTTGTTGCTAATGCCAAGAAAGTTAAATAGTGTGTCCTCCTTTCCCCCTCTACCATTTGTTCTTCTTTCTAATTGTCCATGTCCACCTTTGCCTGTTCAGATATCTGAAAACTCTTTAACTAGCTCAGGTTTAACTTCAGATTTATTTAGATGAGATCATGCTAAGCGATACAGCCCACTAGATTTATCAACTGATGTGGGAAACAATTTTTCTCCTGATTTCTTGTTCAGAGCTTGTGACTAAAAGGATAAAATAACTTGGAGAAAAAAAAATGCCCTGTTCAGTTAATGAAATGCAGTAGTCCAAAAGGTTATGTTCTGATTAAGCCAAAGATATCCAGTGACTATTTCATTCAATATTGCTTGAAAATGTGCAATAGCTTTCTTCCAAACTAAGGTACAATCTTTGCCTGATAATCAGGCAGAAAACAAATGTATTTGAAAATTCTGGTATTTTTTTATAAGTGGTTCTGACTTTCTTTGGAATCTTGTATGTTTTTCTTTGACATTTTGCTATTGTAGATTACATTGAGCCATCTGGCAAATGCTTAGGCTTCCAAATAAATGAGTTGGAGGCCTTTGCCTTTTCCATGGCACCAGACTGGAAAGGCCCCATTCTCCAAGGAACAAATATTTTGTTTTTTAAAGACTGACCTGTTAAAACTGTTCTCATTTGAAGTACAAACATAAATATTACTTTTTCCACTTATACATAACATATGCCTGCTCTGAGCTGAGTAAATCCGGTACATTGTCTGTATAAAATTGGATAAAGTTTTGAACAGTGTAGTTGTTCCTTATTATATTGTCAAACCTATGTTCTTCACTTACAGATGATTGAAAAATATATGTACTAGATAATTTTTCCTAGCTACAGTACGGCTTGCACAGAATTCTATCATTCCTTATAAAGACCTGGAGATTTTATAAATGCTATGTTACAGATGGCCCGTTTTGAGTTTTAGAACTTTTGGTATCTCAGATGTTACTGGACTATATTTTCTAACAAACCCTATTGTTCCACCTAATGGAAATTGTAATTCAGGAATACACCAAGAATCAGAGCTGACCATAGGTATACAATTAGGCAGGGCATATTTTGGAAATAATTTAGAAAGGGTGCTTTATGGTACATGCATTTAATCATGGGTGTAGATTGTGTTTGCAAGTTTTTGACTGGTGTGTTCTTTTCCAAGTTTAATTGTTGTTGCGCCATCTGCAGAGACTCATGATCCTAGAAAAGATTAAGTTGCTTTAAGGAGGTGTAACAGATGCCACATTTGTATGGCCCTGCATATCCAGAGCACATTTTTCAGAACTGAATCTGAAGTACTGTGCAACTCTAATACTCAGCATGCCTGGAATTTAATTGTAAACTGTTTTTGGAATGTTTGCCTGGCTAAAGAAAATATAGTATCGCTTTTCATTTTGCAACAAAAATAATGATTATTTCTTTTTACAAGAGAGTCAGTTTGATGTAGTGGTTAAAGTATAAGACAAGACACTGGGAGAACATGCGGCTGCTGGGTGACTTTTGGCCACTTGTTCTGCCTCTTAAGCCAAATCACCTCACAGGGATTTTGGGGAAAATAGAAGGAGGATGCATTATGTATGCTGCCTTGATTTGTACAAATATAGATGGAATAAAAATCAAAGAAATTGTTAACAGATTGAAAGCGTAAAAATGTATATATATATGCACATTTTGTCTCCATGTTCAGTGCTCTGTCTGGCTATAATGGAACTATATTTGCCTATGGACAAACAGGCAGTGGCAAGACTTTTACAATCACTGGGGGAGCAGAACGTTACAGTGATCGGGGGATAATTCCACGGACCCTGTCTTACATATTTCAGAGGTTGCAAAAGGTACAGGCCATTATTTCTGTTCTTTTATTATTTATTACTTATTTATGGAAATGTACAATTATGTAAATAGATTTCATGTTGTTTTCTGCAGCCTCAAGAAGATTAAAGGTTCTATACTTTTAACAGGAAATCAAAGAACTAAAAATTGTCAAGTTACAACTGTTATTTTAATAGACGAGAATATCTGTAGTGGTGGAGTCCTTTGCCTGTAGATATTTCACTACCTGACTAGATAACAACGACAGTACTAGCTCTCACTAGCACTAATAATGTTACTTAGTTGGGTAATGAAATGTCTACAAGTAAACAACCCAGCTCAGAGAGCACCAAGGACTCTATGGTGTTTTATGTAGGAATGGTATTGTATCACAGAAAGCTGGCTAGAAGTTTTAAGTCAGCCTGGCATCATTCAGTTTGTATGGCCACCTGCTCAAAAGTTTGTTTTAAAAGGTTAATATTTATGTGATATTTCTTTAAAACTGTAGTACAGTTAATGCCCGAGTTTACAATAGCTCAGATCTGAGTCTCCCTTGCTATGAAGAAGCAGATGTGTTTGGATTTCTCCTAGAGTACTCTTGCAAGACAGAAAGCACACCTAGATAAACTAATTTTACCTTACTGTAAGGGTACATTAACAAAATCTTGCAAGTCTGAAAGTACATTTGTTCCCCATCATCTTTACAGCCCAAGAAGTATCCCATACTAACATTCCTTCTGCAGACTAAACTGCTTTTTATCTGGATATTTCTTTGTCAGTGGCTCTTCCCTCTGTGCCCCAAGGTCATTCCCATGTAGAGACTCTGACCAGGTGAGCATTTGGCCAGGAATCTTACTTGGAATTCAAGGACTTCCCAACAGTAACTCATACCCTCATAAAAATTATTGTAAAGCATTCTACATAGGATTGTCTTTGAAGATCACTCAAAAACTGCTGTTGGAACAGAATGTGGCAACCTATGACTTTCAACTTGGCACCTATTACTTGCAGGACTGCGTCCCTAACAAAACTGACCTATATGCAATATTATACTTGTCCCTGGTAAAACTGCTGGTTGTTCCCCACTTCAGTGAAGTGAGGGAATCTGAGGCCACCAGGCATTTCTTTTTGTTCATTGCACCGGTTATAGGGGTTAGGGCCTCTCCTTAGAAATTAGATAGGCTCTACTTTAATAGCTTTATACAATATGATAAAAATGGAGGTTTTCTGGAGAGCATTTGGGAGTTAACTGGTTCATCTGTTATTATAATTATTGAAACTTTTTTTCTTTTGAGACTAATTAGTTGGTTATTGATGATGGCTCAGTCCAATTTATTTTAACATAGTATCAATAGGATGGATTGTATTTTAATGTTTTATCTTGCTCGAATTCCTTAGCACGGGTATTTGTTGATGAAATAGACTGGAGATATCTAGCTAGATAGAAAAGAGATAACCTAATATCAAGTTTATATAGTACTAAAGTAAAAAAATAAATATAGGTAAAATTTAGATTTTATACATTTATTGATCTTTTTTCCTTTTAATTCAGGATAGCAGTAAGGCATATACCACACATATTTCTTACTTAGAAATTTACAATGAGTGTGGTTATGATCTGCTAGATCCACGGCACGAAGCCTCCAAACTGGAAGACTTACCGTGAGTAATGCAATATTTGTAAAAATCAGCACATCTTTTTTTCCTTTTGTCCCAGTTCTAATTCTCTGTGTATGTCTGCCTGCCTGCATATCAAAAGAAGTTAAAATTTAAAATTTATATCAAATTAAAGTTTCTGTGACATTGCTGTGGCAAACAATACTGCTGTTTTTCCCCTTTTTCAAATGTCTTATTCTATACAATGAATCAAAAAAATACCATTAAAATAAATAATCAAAGACTACAATGTAGTTTTCCTAGATTATTCATGGACAAATAATAATAAAAAATTAATCACAGCTATGTGTTGGACAGTGCTTCAACAGTTTTGTAACTATTTGCAGAGAGAGTTTTGGCCTGCAGAGATTTGACCTGCAAATCTAGGTTGCTACTAGACTTGTATATTTGTGTGTATTAATATAAGATATTACTGTATGTGTGTGTGTGTGAATATGAATATTGGAATAGTACAGTAAATACAACATTTTTTCACTGTCACTCTATATTGGTGGAAATACTATTTAAAAGATCTCCTTGTCAACATAGAAACAGAAACATTAACTAGAAATATTAGTACTATCTAATATTTTATCTCTCACATTGCAATTGTATAAACAGTTCTATATCTAATGTTCTGATTCCTTTCTTTACGTAAAAATGTATATATGTTTTAATGCTAATTTGGATCTTGATGTGGAAAAATACTGCTAATTTATTCATAATGACAGAGGAGGCAGAAGCAAGGTTTTTGTTTTCTTTATAAACAAAGAATGTTTTCCATTTGGCTAAGTGGATGGAATTTGTAGATTCTTTTTAAAGCTAAGCGGAATTTGTATAAAACAATATTAGCCAAGTTGAGCTGGATAAATTCATCAGTTACATCAGCCAAGTTGTAGAACTTTAAGAAATGGAACATCTGAGGACTTCTTTTAGAAAAATTGTGGCCTTTACTGTTCCAGGTCCAAAAAAGTACCATAGTTCTCACAATTACTTATTTTAATACTGAAATCAATATCCCAAAGGTGCTTTTCAAAGAGGCAAATGGACTTTCTGGTTTTTCTTTGAAGACATTTTTCTTCTCATCTGAAGAAGCTTCTTGGATGAGAAGCAAAATGTCTTCAAAGAAAAATCAAGAAAGTCCAGTTGCCTCTTGAAAAAACACCTTTGGGACAACCATGATCTGGATGACTGAAAATCTCCATAGACACTGAAATCAACATGCGCTTAGTTTCAGTAATCTGGCCTGTACTTCCTTTTCCCATAAAATTCTTCTTCCAGGCAATCCAATGTTTAAACACGCCTGTGGCAAGCTCATTTTGCTAAATTGTTGAGCAAAGTAGAATTTTATTTAAATTCATTTTCCTGGTTTACTATTATAACAAATAAAGATTTCTCTTCCTAATCTTGTGGAATAGGGCAAGGTAGTATAAAGGAGATTGTTAATGTTACAGTTTTATATTTTTAATTGCTAATGTTACAGTTTCATATCTTTAATATTGAACAATTCAGTTTTCTCCCGCAGTAGAATAAGTAATTCTGAAATATATATTTCATTTACTGGGAAATCTTGCTGTTAGTAGCTAGAGTTACATAAACATTAAAGCATTTGAGATATGTTTATATGATCAAGAAATTAATACATTTACTTACTAGCATTTTTTTTTGAATAAATATTCCTGTATAATTTATAATTAAAAACTCATACATGTTTTCTTTTTTAATTTTTTCATATAGAAAGGTGACAATAATGGAGGATCCTGATCAGAACATTCACCTGAAACATCTCTCTTTGCAGCAAGCAACCAATGAAGAAGAAGCTCTGAATCTGCTTTTCTTAGGTGACACAAACAGGATGATTGCAGAGGTGAACACGTTATCAACATCTCTTATTCTGTCATCACCAACAAGCTTTATAGCAAAATATAAGTTTATTTATTTAAAACATATAAATAATCACCTATTTCATATATTCTGGGTGCTCCTCTTCAGCAATTTCAGTCAATTTTTTTATTTTTTTAAAAAATAAACTTTATTTACAAGAATTAAAAACATACAAATTTAAAAATATAAAACCAATAATGTATATATAACACATTCCTCTTTACATTTGATATCAAATTTGATATGTCCTGATAATCATTACGAATACTTCTCAAATTTCCATTAACTATCAAATCTTAATCACTACGTAACTTGCAATACTCTACTAATCTTCTTGTTGGATTATAACTATCTATTAATTAATAATAAATTCATAATTTTTTTTAAAAAAAAACAAATTTTATTAACTTTACAGAACAATACACAGACAATCAAGGCATAATAACATAAAAGATCTTTTCTGGAAAAACCAGTAGAACATACAAAATATTTCCAAATTGTAATATGTATATTTACATTATCTGCTCAACTTCATATCTTATCCAATTTCTCCTTTTCATTCTATTATCCAAATTATATTTCTTACTAATTAAATTTTTTTGCGTTTCAAAAACAATACACAAACATACAAGACATAAAACATAAAAAACATAAAACATCTTTTCTGAAAGCTGCTTGATCCCAGGTTAAAACTCTTCGCACAGATGCAAATTCAAAAATCATATTTACTTTATATATCATTCCATATCATATTACCATTTTCAATTTTCTATATAGCTTCTTCCCTCTTTTATCTTTCTTAGTTTTATTTTATTTATCTTATCTCAATACAATTCATAATACTTATCATTCTTTGTCTGTTCTTTTCCAGTTATCCATTCATCTTTTCTCTTTAAATATACTTCTCCTGTACACTGCTTTTATTTTGTAATTGTAGTGTTCTTGCTTTTCTTATAAAACTTATTGTGTAATTTTAGAATGTACTAATCAGAATCCCAATATAATGTAAGTGTTATATTAAGTATTATTAAGCTAGGGGAAAGAGTCAAAGGCGTCACTCCAATCAGTGTACAGAATAAATTCATAATTTTTGAATAGTAAATAAAAAGATATAGTGAATATAATGATAATAATATAGAAGAAATGAATATTTAACACCTTTGTTATTCTTGTACATTTCATAAAGACAGTTGCATATAATTTGTTTTTAGGGTTCATTTACGTGTTTTCCCTTTACGGTCTACCCAGTTGTACCATTTGTCCCATATCCTATAATAATCTGTGTCCTCCTTCGCATTGATTTTGAGTGTGAGCCTCTCCAATTGGGCACACTCATGTGTTTTTTGAATAGCAATATGTATCGGTGGTACATTTGGATTCTTCCAATATTGTGCTAATGAAATCCATGCCTCTGTCAATAAGTGGATGGTCAGATATCTTACTTTATGGATATAATCCCCTTTAATCATTCCCAACAAGAACAGTTCAGGTTTCCACTCCAGCCCACACTCTATAATTTCTTCTATCCGCTCTTTTATTTTTAACCAATATTTCTTTGTCTCAGGACAGGTCCATCATAGATGGAAATAAGTACCAAAATTACCTTTGCATTTCCAACAGCATGGGTTTGCTGTCGGAAATATTTTGGCCAATCTAAAGGATGCCAGTTGCCATCTATGCAACATTTTGTACAGATTCTCCTTATGTGCCACTGATTTAGTTAGTACGAGATTGTTTTTGCCAGATTTCTTCCCAGTCATCCAGATCTATACTGTGACCAAATTTTTTTTCCCAGACTAACATAGGTCCTTTCACAATTCTTTCAGCCGTTTCATGTTCTAATATATAATTATATAGTTTAGAAATCAACCCTTTCTCGGGACTTGAGAGTATTTTGTCTAAATGCATATCTTTTGCCTCAATTCCTTATTCATTTACATCTTTATTATATCTCAATTTTACTTGGAAATATGACCAATTATCGATGACTATCCCTAGTGCTTCAAGTTCCTGTATCGTTTTAATTCTTCCCTTTATCTAATATTTGATGGTACTTCAGTTTTTTACTGATATCTATCGTATTTAAGTGGAACATTGCCTCCATCATTGAAAACCACCTCGGAATTTTGGTATAATAATTTCTTCTAAAGTCAGCCCAAATCTTAATTAATGACTTTTGGAATACGTGTTTAGTAAAGTATAGATTGTTTTGGCAGAAATTTCAGTCAAATCTATTGTATCTTTATGAATTTTGTTCTTAAAGTATCATTGTTTTGTTTTTGCTTCTAAATATATTTAAATATTTAAACATTTAATTGAATTTATGAATCCAATGTAAATCGTATTGTACACAACCAGGTACTTTATAGTAGAAGAATTGTACTTTGGCAGAGAAATCATGTCTTCCCAAATGTAGTTTTTCAATGAGTTTCCCAAGTTAGGAATTTGGAGAATCTCAATGAATAACTCTCTTCTACTTGGCCCTTGGAAAGCATAATGTGGGACTTCCATTAAGTGATGGAAAGGGCACTAAAATTGAGCCCAAGACTAGAAACTTTCAGAAACGTCTACTGGAAATCTGTTGGTGGAAACGGCTTCAGTGGTATCGTTACATAATGATTCATTCTTAGTGGTGGTGTGCTGAATTTCTGGGTAGTTTTATTCAAACTGAAGCTAGCCAAAGAGAGCTGAACTGTTGTTTCCCTTGGTTTTTTCCCCCCATGGCAATACTAAATGTAATATCTCTTCTAGTATTTAAAGAATATTGTACTGTTAAATCCATCCACATGAAACTAGATATTTTCATTTTAGTCTCTTCTCATAAATCTTAATTGTCAGTTCCCTAGTTATCTTTACTGCCTTCCTCTGAATTTGTATATGTGTTGCAACACAATTCATATTGATAGATGAACATATGCTTAGGTCTTAATCTCAGTTGAACAAATGTGAAAATCAAAGTAGATAGGGATTAAACTGCTTCATTTTTAATATGACATGATACAATAGTATATGGTGAAAGAAAGGTTTTATGAAGCTAAGTAATGAGGAAGCAATTAATAAGTTGATGTGTCTTTCCTCTGGCATGAATCTGGCCAAGATAAATTTTTGTGGCAGGTTTTCTAGTAATAGTGGGAATTCTTAAAAGATCTGAAATCTTACTATTCAGTAGGGAGAATAACTCATTATTAAATTGTAAGACTTTAGAATGGCAAATAAATATTTTTTTTTATTTTTTCATAAAAGCAGCCCTGTACATATCACTTTGCAAAATGGCAATTCTGAGGATTGACTCTTCCTTCTAAGGAATTGTTATTCCTAGAAAAGAATTCTATTTTCATTTCTTTGATCTTGCCTTACTGTATTTGGCTTTACTAATTAAATTTCAGGCTGATGTAGAGATTCAGAAATAGCAAACTTAGAATAATTTAAGATTTTTTTTAGGTGTAACCAGAAACACCAGACAGGATACAAACTGTATAAAAATAGAGAAATTCTGCTCACAATAGGAAATGGTGGTGGAAGTAAAATATAATTTTAACATGGTACATTGTAATTGTAAAAATTGTGAATCTTTTTTTCTGAAAGCTTAAGAGAAGGCAGACTGTACATCCATTCTGATAGAGTTAATAATCAAGAAATAGACCTTGTTTTTATTTATTTATATTTTATTTATATCCCTTGATTATGATTCAAAGCATACTTTATAATCATGTTTTCTTACTATTACTTCACAACTCAGTGATTTGTTGAGACCGAGAAACTTCCATCACATTGAATACAACCCAATTTCACATTTTTTTAAACATTCAGCCAATAAAAATGAAATGGAACATAAACCAAAGATTATAGTTATTAATCTCTTTACCATACATTCAAAGCAGTGTAAGTCTATCAACATGAAAAACTGTATCATTGGCATCAGCATTATTTTAATGAGACGAAACTTTTCAGTAAAATGTTTTATTGCAGTTCTTCTCTGTTCGTTCAGTTTGGGAAGACATATCTGTGTTGTATTTGTTTAGCTACTTGTGTTTGGAAAGTGCCTAGAGCTAATATTCTTGGCAGTTTTCACATATATTTAATGAATGTAAACATTTTAAATATTTAAAGATGAAAGCAATACTTCTCTTTTATCTACTTTTTCATCTGTGAGTATACTATCTATGTATTCTGCACATTTTAGCATATAAGGTGTTTTACCACCAAAGCCTACAATGTTTTCATAAATATACTGGTTTTAGAGATGATGCATAGGTTATCAGGCTTGTTGGTGATACTAGATTATTTCAAGCAAAATTTTCTCCCAATTGGGGAGTTTACATTGAAAGAGTGAATGCATTTCAGCGTAATCAAATGTTAAAGGGACAAACAAGGGTAAAAAAAGGAAATTAAAGTAAATACTCATTAAAACATGGAGTTTGTATGTAACTATTGAGAAGATAAATTCTGTATAAGGGCTCAGTGAAAAGGAATTGAAGATGAATTTCTTGGTGCTGTAATATTAACACAAATCTGTGACCTATAAATGGTATAACTACACGGTTCTGCTCCTATTCAGGTAGCCCTCAATTTACAAGCATTCAAAATTATAATCACCCCCAAAACTACTTATGACCCGGTTTTTAACATCCAACATCCCCTCATTCGATGGTCATGTGATTGGATTTTGAGCACCTGGACTGCATTTATAGCTATTTGTGCACTACTTTCAGTCATGTTGCACAATTTACAAAGTTTTTATTTTGATTAAGGAACTCTCTTGTACTTTTACAGGGATATGTAGTAGGACAGATTAATCAACCATTTTTTTTCCCTTCCTCCAATCCAGCCCATTGTAAATGGAATTATTTTGGGATGTTTGGGTTAAGCCCAACAAGTTTCAAAGTATCATTGTGCTCTGTTTTATCTTGAACCACTTTTTATTTCTAAATGATCAGTAGCATTTAGACTGAGAATTAAAAAGTAAGGCTTAGGAAATGCTTTCTCTCACAGACTCCAATGAATCAAGCCTCCACACGTTCACATTGCATTTTCACCGTTCATATCTCAAGCAAAGAACCAGGATCAGCAACCATTCGGCGTTCCAAACTACACTTAGTGGACCTGGCTGGTTCAGAGCGTGTTGGGAAGACTGGAGTTGGAGGCCAGCAACTGACAGAGGCCAAATACATAAATCTGTCTCTACATTATTTGGAACAGGTAAAGTTGATCCAGTTTCCATTTTTTCTATTGTTTTATAATGTTCATGATCTCTTGCACTTGGCATTTGAACCACTGAATTTTGGTTTAGACATGGAACACAATGGATCTCAGGTAGCTACTTTGTGGCAAAATGTCTGTATATACTTCAATCTATTTTACCATTTGATAACATTATTTAGAGATCAATTTAATAATAATAATTTTATATATAGGTAGTTTTCACTTAGCTACCATTGTTCAGTGACCCTTCAAAGTTATGCAAGTGATTTGGGGCCAAATGCAATTGGCAGAGATGGCAAAGTACTGGGAAGCCAAAAGGGCAGAGATGGGGAGGGGAAAATAGACAGGAAAGGAGAATGCAGTATGAGACCTTATATGCTTTGTGGCAAGGTAGATGATAATCCATCTTCAGTGAAGATATTTTCCAAATCAAATTATCATAACTTCCAAAGTGCTGGCTCTGGAAGGGAAAGGGACAATCCCAAATGTCCCAAGCACAAAAATTTCATCAATCTAGCAATGCAATTGCATGACTAATCATGCCACCTGTGGTCTTCAGAGACTAAGCAAATATAACAAAGTTATAATTTCTCATCCTGGCCTTCAAATATGGTGTCAAGATTGATGAAGTCTGGAAGATGCATAATTGTGGAAGTAGATGTGCTACAGTACTTCTTTGTTCACTATTATGCTCTTGACAGTCTTTTTAAATCCATTGTCAAACAGAATATGATGCTTCCTGAAAACATTCAGTAAGATTACATAGTCAGAGTAACTTAAAAATTTCCTTTACATAAATAAGTTTAATTTTTTTGATCTACTTTTGTTATAAAACAATGAAATGATTGTGCCTAAACATAATCATCAGCACTAGGATAGAAGGATCTGGGTGTGTAGTATGTGTGTCTTTGCATGTAATTTCTATATTGCCCTTGTTGCTAACATCCTACTCAAATAAACACTGATTAATATTACTCCAAGCATATTGTATAATTATACAGATTATGTTTTGTGCAACTGTATGAAAAACACTAAATTTTAATGTATTTTTTTAATAATAGGAAGATTTGTCTTAAGCAAGATATTAGTGCTTAAGCTTTTCTAATATTACCTATACTGCAGGTAATCATTGCTCTGTCAGAAAAAAACAGAACTCACATCCCCTACAGAAACTCCATGATGACTTCAGTATTAAGAGACAGCCTGGGTGGGAATTGCATGACAACAATGATTGCAACGCTCTCAGTAGAAAAAAGGAACATAGATGTATGTTTTCCCATTTCCCATTTTAATTGTTTTGATATTAATGTAAAAATTTTATGCTAAAATTTCATTGCATAACTGATACAGTATGATTAAATTCTAAGAGGTTTTTTCCTCCATTTTTAAGAACATGGCTATTTATTAGATACTGGAGTACAGAACTAGACCTAAAATAAAAAACAGTAAAAAAGGAAAAATGTTGAAAGCTCGCTAATATATATAGAAGAATATAGAAGCACAAAGCCAAAGACACAAGCACCAAGCCGAAGACACAAGCCTGAAGATGATGAATGAGACTTCATTGAAACGTTGCCTAGATACTTCCAATTTTACGCGGGAAAAAACCTGAATAACCAAAGATCCACATACAAATACCCGCGAAAACCTCAGAAAACACACACGCACGCACACACACACACACACACACACACACATATATGTATATATATATGTGTGTGTGTGTGTTTTCTTAAGTTTTCGCGGGTACTTTCATGTATGGTATTCAGCTTTGTTCGGGTATTTTCCCACATCATTGTAGTTGTGTTTTTAAAGTTGTAGCAACGTTTCGGCAGAATCTCATCTGCCATCGTCAGGCTTCTGTATTGTATCCGTCTGTGAATATATATATACATTCTTATATATTGGATTTGTTTTCTATATATATTGGATTTATTCACTCTCTCAATTCTCTGTCCTCTACCCCACTCCATATATACTCACACAAACTCTCTGTTTTTGTTGATACCACCTTTGTTGTTATCTGAAGTAACTGAAGGATGATAGGGAGCTCTGAATAATGCAATATTTTGCCATATGATTATACTGAACATTCAAAACATTTTGTATTCTTCACTAGAGCCTTATCAGAGGCCTACAGATGAAAGAAAATTTTAAATGGAGGAAAAGTTTATCTTTTTTCTGAAAATTGCTTCAGATTCAGGGATTAGATTTGGATTAAAAATTCTTTTTCATTATGTTTAATATAAGATCAGGTGATAACAAGTAGTAAAAGTCATTGTGTGGATGATTACAATACAGTTCATTTTATAAAATGAATTATATTCAGTACATAGTAACAGTCAGTCTGAATGTATCTTAATTCACATAATAATAAATAATAGTCTTATGGCATTGTTGTTTTTAAAAAATTAACCATGATAGAAGTATAACTAAATTCCTTAGCAACATTGAAGCAGAATAAAATATATTCTAGTGCTGGTTAATAACTTGTTTATAAAAATAGTAGGCAATGTTAGTATAAACCATATGCTAGTGGATCATCAGCAATTTAAAAAGAAAATATGAAATTAAGTTTAAAAAAGTTAATTTGTTTTGAAACTAGAGATAGATACTTAAAGTTAATGGAATTTAAGACTTCATTAGATCTTTTTTAAAATTGAAAATACATCATTAAGGGCTAATGTCTTACATTGCACTGTACATCATTACTGATTTATTATTATTTATAAAATAATTTAGCATCAGTCATGTACATAATTATAATTTTGAAATAATGTTTATAGTGACTAAAAGGGTATAATACCAAATATTGATTTATTCCTGAAAATTGAAAGCTCACCTAGAGGTCCTTTGCTTTTTGCCATTACTCTTTAGTCATTGAAATCTACTGTTTGATCAATTTTATGTTCTACATTAGCATCAACCTATTAATTAATGAATACAAAAAATAAATCTCATAATAATTTAATTTTATGAAGAAATATGGGAGTGGATCTGGGGCTGCTGTTTTTGCTTACAAATGATGCATGACATGTTATCTAATTCAGTCCTAAGATGTAATAGACCGAAAGTATTTTTATCAATATATAATTTGTTTGGTATTAATTTTTGTTAAAGTATATTAAGACCATTTTAAAGATTTTTACTTTAATTCTTCCCTTGTTTACATGGTGATATGTTAAGATATTTTTTTTTCCTTTTAGGAATCTATATCAACCTGTAGATTTGCTCAGCGAGTTGCTATTATTAAGAATGAAGCTGTTCTAAATGAAGAAATTGATCCTGGATTGGTAAGGCTGCTCAGTCACACTTTATGATAACAGTATATAATATACTGTTACTCAAAGAGTCTAAAACATACAATGAATGGTTGCAGGAATTGGGCTTGGCTAGTTTAGTAAAGAGAAGGACCAGGGGAGACATGATAGAGGTCTTCCAATATTTGAGGGGATGCCACAGGGAGGAAGGGGTCAAGCTATTTTCTAAAGCGCCTATAGGCCAGACAAGGAATAATGGATGGAAACTGAACAAGAAGAGATTTAACCTGAAAATAAGGAGAAACTTTCTGACAGTGAGAACAATCAACCAATGGAACAGCTTGCCCTCGGAAGTTGTGGGAGCGCCATCACTTGAGACTTTCAAGGAGAGATTGGACTGCCATTTGTCAGAAATGGTGTAGGGTCTCCCGCTTGGACGGGGGTTGGACTAAATGACCCACAAGGTTCCTTCCAACTCTGATTATCTGTTATCTGTTATACCATGACAGTGATATTCATGTAATAATTATTCCTAATAATTATTATTCTGTCTCCTGAATATGGTAGTGGAGGCCTATTTGTCACAAGTGATTAAAAATGTTGCATACTCAATGCAACTTACATAGGGTAGTATTATTATTATTAACAATAACTAAATTGCACTATTATTAATAATAAATATTTTTTTAATATACAGACTGATCTTATGCATAGTATTTTCAATGACTAATATTAAGCAATCAGTTTGTTTTCATTTCTTGAAGTTCTGTAGTGTAGTTGTATGTAGTGGTGTATGTAGTGTAGCTATATTTAACTTGAAAGTAAGCTCTTGTATTTTCAATAGAATTTTTTCCAGATACATATTCAGAATATTGCCTCATTAGAGAACAAAGATGCTGAAAACATATTGTCCTTGATTAATCCAGAACTATGTAGATATGCTATGAATACAAATTCCAAATGCTTAACCAGTAAAGAATTAAATCTCAATTGTTTACTGCTTACCATCTTTGAAAGGAGTTTCTTTTCCCCCAAATCACTGTTCTTCATTTTTCCAAAGCATGCCGTTATTTTAGTTCACAGAACTATTTCATTTTTATATGAAATGAAAAAAGTTTAATTTTTTTTGGGTGGGGGGAATATAATAATGAACAATTTGGTATATATAGAAAAGAGCCTCACATAACTTCTGAATCAGACATTCATTGTTAATCAGTGTGATCCAATTTATATTTCCAGATGATTATGCGTCTGAAGAAGGAAATCCAGGAATTAAAAAATGAATTGGCAATGGTGACTGGTGAACAAAGGCTTGAAGAACTCTTAAAAGAAGAGCTGCTAGAGTATTGTTTGGTTTTCTTTACATCATCTTATTCTGAAATATATATTTTTTCATTTGCATAATAAGCATGGACATCCTAGTTGAATTTAGTTTCAAATAATGCTTCAAATTAAGAGATATTATAAATTTATCAGAATGAGGAGTGAATTTACAGCAGCTGTAGTATTTTCACTGTAGTATTTTTGCCTTATTAATGGTAAGGGAATGAGAAAAGGTGAAAGTTGTGAGATCTACTGCTATTTTACTATTATGAGACACTGATTTTGGCAATAGAAGTGAATTTCCACATAGATAATTATCTGAAAAGTAATTGGCCGGAGTAAGTGAAGTGCAAGAATAACACTAATGATCTAGCTGCTACATTGAAGCATATGAGAATAATAAATTGATGAGGAACATGAATGGGGCTGAACTATCAATGATTAAATTACCTCTAGGGTGATGTGAATAACATTTAAGGATTATTTTGTTTAATATTGTGAAATAAGTGAATGAATACTGTGAAATAAATGAAGTGAATCATGCTTTCCCCCCCGATATTTCTTTTGAGACATTAATACATACCAGTTGAAGAAAAGGTTCAGAATATGCATAACTTAAAAAAGGATTTAGGGAATATTTGTAGCATTGAGAAATGCTGTATTGCTAATTGTTATCAACGAATTTCTTACATGCTAAATTCCTGTTTATAAAGTTTTTTCCAATATAAGACTGCAGAGAGAATGATCAAAAATAACCCCAAACTTTCTGAATACCATAATCTAGGTACAAGCCAGTAGATTTTATTATTGTTTTGCTTTCTATCTCTAAAAAAATTCAAAATTGGGCAAGGAGCAACAGTATTAAAAATTCTGCTGCAAAGATTTTTTTGCTATAGACAATGAAGCCTATGTTGCAAAATTGAAGACATCAGTCTGTCAGAGGAAGAAAGTCTCCAGACCAATTAGTTGAATTGGATTATTATATTTCAAAAGAAGCTATTGAAGTTTTAGTACATATAACTATGCTGAAATAAAACTGAACAAATTAATCTTTATAAATACCTGAACATAGTTTTTTCCCCAAAGTAACAACGTACAAATTGGAATGTACAAATTAATTCAGAAATATCAAAAGATAGCAATTTTAAAATTTTAAGCAATTTTTCAAAAGGAGGGGGGAGTTACAGTACATTCCATCAGCCTGAAAAGTTTTTAATGCCAAAGTTATAATATAACCAATATGCAGCTCACAAATCTGTCCATATAAAGACTGTCTGGAGACTATAAATTAATTTTTGAATAGGCATGGTTTCTATGCCTTGTTTCACAGTGCTGTGTTTTGAAATAGAGATGATTTCAATCATGACCTAAATACTGATTTTCTATTTTAATTTTTGGTGTAAAATATTTTTTCCTGACAGAAGTCTTTTGTTGGGTGGGTGTGGAACATTTCAGGCTCGGTGATGGAAACCTGTAGAAATTAGAGTTAACAGAGTTACTTCCAGGATGCTGCATACAGTGATGTTATTCAGGGAAACATAACTACTATTTATGCAGATTGTAACTGCATCACATTTTTGACCCATATAGTTTGAGAAGCTAAATTTAATTTAGATCTGAATATACGCTCAACATGATTCAAGGCATCAAGAATTTCTTAGAAACTGATGTGTATAAGTCAGTTGGATAAATGAATGCTTGCTTGCCCTTGCTGGGCAGCTAGCAAGTTGTTTACTTGCTTATTGAGGCAGGCTGGAGAGGGACAAGGGAGAGAAAGGAGCTAGGTGAATTTATGTTTGCTGATGCTTTCAAACAGAGATGAGAGAGGTTTCTGGGGGGTGGGAATTAGAGGTAGTCCCTTACCTTTCTGAGGATCAGGTCTGGGAGGGACCAATCCTGGAGTGGTTTCTATGGATTGAGTACAGCTAGTCCTCGATTTATAGCCATTCATTTAGTGACCATTCAAAGTTACAAGGGCACTAAAAGTGACTTATAACCATTTTTCACACTTATGACCGATGCAGCATTTCCATGGTCACGTGTTCAAAATTTGGATGGTTAGCCACTGGCTCGTATTTATAATGGTTGCAGTGTCATATGATCACTTTTTGCAAACCCCTGACAAGCAAAATCAACGGGGAAGCCAGATTCACTTAACAACTGTGTTCCTAACTTAACATTTGTATTCACTTAACAACTGTGGCAAGAAAGGTTGCAAAATGGGGTGAAACTCACTGAACAACTGTCTCACGACGATAGAAATGTTGGGCTTAATTGTGGTTGTAAATTGAGGACTACCTTTATTCATATATCACTAATTCAGTTAGATCAGAAGTAATAGGGCTTATTCAGAAAGACATTTATTTTTGAGTTCAAGGATTCCAAAAGAAAACATTTTGAATGGAATATCTTACTTTTCTTGCTACATCATAAAATAAATATTTTTTTTTACCAAGCAACCTGAAATATTTCCTAACTATTCATCAGATCTGAAAAACAATATTACAAAATGGCTGTTTTTCAATCCATTATTTTTCTCTCTTTGATGTTTGACTGCGGTGTTTTGAAGGCTATAGCCAATGATAGTGGACATGCAGCAAATACAGTGAACCGTGTACTGTATATAACTCAATGTATCAGGGTTCTGTAATAAAAAAAGGAGGAGCAGCCATAAGTGAATCATAGTTTATATATAAGGTCAAAGTGAGGGCTTCCAAAATTCCTTCATGAGTTAGTTAAGTCTCTTTGCTTCCATCGTATATAATATTGAATGTTTTAAATATAATCTTCCTACATATGGAAAGAAGCAATTTACTATTTTGAGTTACTTTAAAATATTTCACTAAAATATTTTATAAAAGTTTTTATTAAAGCTGGTTGGACAACTTTACAAATATCTAGCAATGAAGAGTGCTCTGTCCTGCAAGGGCGTGTAGGAGAGAAGTTAGTCATATTGAAGGCCAAAAGCCATGTACACTACTACAGCAAACAGTTATTCAAGGCAACCTCCATGGGGGTACGAATCTAAATTTAAGTAAAAATCTAAAATCTACTATACTACTTACAGGAAGAGAGACTAAAAATGTGGTCTTAATGTAGATGAAAGTCAGTATATCCAACAAAATAGTTCAATCACAGGTTCTGCAAAATAGGCTGAGGTGAACATTATTTCTATCAAATATCTTAGTCTCTGATATTGATACTTTATAAAATTTTCAGAAAAAGATCTATTTCCAGATCAATTATGCTCATTATGTTAACTGGCTCCTGAGGGGACCATCTCTTCCAGGAAGGCCTACTTGATAGTCTGACAGCCATCTACAGTGCACATGTTCCTCACTTGGCCCTACATTGATTTTAGAAATCATCAATAAATAACCAAGGAACAAATTGAGTACAAACCAGAGTCCTTCCTTCTAGGAATTTTTGATAAACAAATATCCAAAAAATCGAAGTATATTACAATCCATATCTTAACCGTGGCCAGACTGGCATTTGCCCAGTGCTGGAAACTACCCTCTATCCCCACTGAACTTATGGTTATTCAGAAAATTTTACAATGCGCCGAAATGGACAAACTAACCCAAGCATTAAAAAATAAAGAATCCTCAACCTATTATAGCAATTGGAATCCTTTGTATATTTGGCTAAACCAAAGATAGATCACCTCTAGGAAAATTAAGGCCGAGGGCCTCTGAAGCAGAGATAAAGAAAAGCACCGCCAACGATAGTTTTGAAGAAGAAAGGACCTTACAGACAGTCACAAAAATATGGTTTTATTATAATTGTTTTCCCTACTCTTTCCCCCCCTTCCCTTACCTTTCCCTCTTTCCTCTCTCAAGCCTTCCTCTCTTTCCCTCTTGGCCTATGCCAAGACCTGTTTGTCTTTTTGTTGTATATAATTTGTAGCTGTGTTGTTGTTTTTTTAAAAGTAAAATTAATAAAGTCTTTTCTAAAAAAAAAAAAAATCATCAATAAATGCAAGGCTGTTAAGTAGAATTACTTTCAAGTACTTAAAGATTCAATTCTGTGGACCATTAATTATAAATAAGTCTAATTCAACAAAATATAATTTTATTTTGGTTAAAAATATACTTGGTATATCATATGTTTCTTTGGAGTTAGAATTTATTAGACGGAACACTGCTATTTTAAATATATTCAATTTTGATTTTAAAAAACAACACCTCCTCAATATGTTGTTTGGACATAAACAGTAAATTTGCTTTCTATGTGTTGGAACCAGAGTTTGTTTCCTGCAGATAGAAAGGTTCTTTTCATCCATAGGTGACTTTTGATTCAAAGAAAAAATCCCAGTGATACAAGAAAAATGCAGCTATATTTGTTAACTAACTTCCCCAATCTGCTTTCCGCTGTCATCCTCAAAGTTTATTCCAAAGATCTAGAATCCACAAGAACTGAAATAGCAGGTATAAATTTTAAAATACTGTTTTTCCTGCTTCCTGCATTTTGCTAAAATTCCACTTGCAGAAATTTTATAGTTGTGATAAACTAGCAGGAATCTAGAGTTTAGTATTTATATTTGATTTGTTCTTCTGAAGATCTGTATATTTTCTTCAAGGTAGCTCTTTGTTTTATCATGTATATTTAGATTAGATGAGCAAGTTAAAGAATTTCTGGAAGATCCTGATCCTGAAAGCATTTTGGAAATTGGAGCTGACATGCGGAAGATCAAATACTGTTTCAGCCATTTAAAGGTATGTTGCATTGTGTTTTTAACACATTAACATATGTACCATATTTTGATTTATGAGGCAATTTTAAAAAAGAAGAGGAAGTATGTGTTTCTAATTAGACCCTAATTAGTATATATATTAAATAAATTATGTTTTTCTTGTAGCAGTAATGAAATTTACATATTGTAAATGAGAAAATTATAATTTTCCATGTGAAGTTTGATATAGGAAACTAGAGTTATTAATTTTTGTTCACATGCTCTTCCTTTTTGCATTGATTTTGTTCTTAATATTTTTGAAAGATTTCCTGTTAAGTGTAAAACAGTGAAATGTGATTTGCTTTTTTAATAACCAGTAGCTGAAAAAAAGCTGGAAACTGTAATTTAAAGAATGTGCAAATTATTTATCTCCAAATTGGTGGGTATTGCTTCTTAAATAAACCATTATTTATTTAGACAGGAACTTTTTATAAAAAGAAACTCCACAGTTAGCTTATGTCATATTTTATATTGTTGGACATTGTTTTATAAACTATTCAATTATTTATAAAAAAGTTGTTTCATTCCCCCTCCCCCCCACCAAATAGGAAAAGAAAGTTGGGTGGGGAAATTTCATATGAAGTTTAATTAATTTGCTCGGACTTATATACCATACTAAACAGAATTTAACGAATATATTAACAAAAACAGTAGTTTATAACTATTCTAAAATTTGTGATTGAAGCCTCCTTTGGGGTTTTTGTGTGGTGTTATTTGATTATGAACCATCAGATCAGTATTGCCCCTTAGCATCTACAAGCATACAATATGTTTTTCAATAAACTTTTTAATGCAGATATATGTTTTAAAAATTAAGTAATTAACTGAAGTTAATTTGCTTATTTGCAAATGTTAAAGCTAATGTTGAGGCCAAATGACATAACTGTTTAAAAAAAGATCAGTATATCTTACTTACAGGAACCAAGTAGTGGAACAATTTTAAGTTTAAGAAAGAGGAATTGAATCTTTGAGAGGAAAGAGAGTCAGAATCTTAGGAAGGATGACTGTATAGTTGACCAAAGGAGAGACGGTACATGAAAATTATTCTGATTTTTTAAAGGAGAGGAAGCTATTAAAACAAGATGATCCATAAGGGAAATCTTTACAGTAGCTTGGCATGCCAGCACTACAAGTTTGTGAAATCTCCTTCTTACAGAAAATGAAGAAATGGATTTCTAATTAAAATAACCATATTGTTTTTGATTCAACAGAGACTAGTAAATGATGCAAAACTTCCTGGCAACCAATTACTTGGACCAGATGTTCAGGAAGATAAAAGTTCTAATACTGTAATTGGCAATGAAGAGTTAAAGAAACTGAAGGATCTTTTGCAGCAACGAGATAATGAAATAAATATCCTTTCTGAAATCTTTATTGGATAAAAATCTAGTTGCTATTCCTGTGACAGACCTGTTTCTGTAAGGAACTTGGCAAGATTTCATTCTGTTCTTTGCCTCATGATCCCAGGTCTCTTCCAAAATGTCCTCATAAGCAGATGGGGGGAGCTAGAGGAGGAGTATACTTTATTACAAAATGCTTTAAAATTCATTGTATAATACTTTTGATTTAATAATAACATGGAAAGGTTTCAATATTGTTAAGTGAATGTAATCAAGCTGAATTCATCTATTTTCAGTTACCATCTGCTCACTCTGGAACAGCTTGCCCTCTGAGGTCAGGATGACCCATGCCCTGTTAAAACTCAGGAATGCAGTTAGAAACATTTTGGAGAGGAAAATAGCCAACATCTTATGGAGGGAGGGGTGTGTGTGTGTTGGTTTAGCCAGCATAGGGTATTATGATGATTAATTGATTTTATTGATGTTTTTAGTATTTTGAATTGTAAACTGGTCAGAATTAGTCAAGGAAGCAACATAAATAAATACATTCTTAATAGTCTACTTAAAGTTTGAGTATAACAGTTGTAATTTGTACTTCTGATCAAACTGTATGTTTTAGTTCACATAATCTCAACATGGTACCAAGTTAAACATGACATTCAAATAATGAGCTTCCAGGCTAATTATTTTGACAAAATTGATGTATTAAAGAGCCGTGGTAGCACAGTGGGTAGAATGCAATATTACAGGCTAATCCTGCTGACTGCCGATTGCCAGCACTTCGGAAGTTTGAATCTCACTGGCTGAAGGTTGACTCGGCCTTCCATCCTTTTGAGGTTGATAAAAGGAGGACCTAGACTATTGGGAGCAATATGCTGACTCTGTAAACTGCTTTGAGAGGGCTGTAAAAGCACTATGAAGCGATATATAAGTCCAAGTGCTATTGCTAAATATCACATTTCTGAACATTTGAGTATTTATTATTTATGTGCTGTTCACTGATACACAATACACAAGACAATAGTGTACAGAACTGACACTTTTTCAGTTGTGTAATGAAATGTGGGGATAACCTTGGAAGATGGAGTAAAAAAATAACACCTAGGGAATAATCAGGTAAAAGGAGGAGAAACACATAGCTAAATGGGCAGAAAAAGAACTTTAGAAAGAATCATCCTAACTTGTCAGGAAGTAAAAAAGAGAGATTGGAAGATTTTTATCTGTTTTATTTATTTATTTGGACACCAGCTAGAAGATGAAAGATACAATGATGACTCCTTAATTGTACCACACATGGAACAACTTCATCATAGTTTCAATTGAGAAACTGAGCATCCTCAACCAAGCTAAGTCTAAAAATGCTAGAGAATTCCTAGAAACCTGGCATTCAGACAAATCAGCCATCAACAACCACATAGCATTACAATAAGTAGAATTAGCTCATAATTTTTTGTTAACATAAACTTGTTATTATTAAAGCTGTTAATAACACTGAAAGAAGTAATTCAGTCATTAAGATTACAATTAGGTGAAGACAATTCCATGGCAAATGCTCTGAGCTAACCTTTTATTTTTTAATCTATTATGACTGCTTTCAGCAATTACAGATTCCTTCTGTACTCACCTGCCTGACCATTTGAAAATAAAGATACTTTACTCATATAAGCAGGTGAAAGTTGAAAAAAATGCTTCTAAACACTCTCAACTAGAAATTTCAATAGTGAGAAATATTATTAAGAAATGAAAGTTGCATGGAACTCTTGAAATCAAGGCAAGATCTGGAAGACAAAAATATCAGCTGGAACTGCTGAAAACTGGTTATATTCACAAAACAGAGACCCACAGTACAATGTTTCTGATACAACAATAAATTTGCATGGGAGAAATATCAGAAGACCTTTTCTTGAAACTTAACCACAAAAAGTAATTGTCCAAAATGTTTGATTTAGAACAAAGTGCTTTAGATTGATGAAATGGAAATTGAATAGCTCAGCCACCAGCTACAAAATATAGATTTCAAGAAAAATAATGTGAAACATTTGAAGAAAAAAGCAATATGGCAAAATATTAAACATAGAGATTACTCTATTGGCTCGGTATTGACATTTAGTATTGTGTCACAATCAGTGGCACAAAATATACTGTGCAAGTATGAGGAAGAATATCAACTGAATGTCAACTAAATATCAATATATATTAGAAGATAATATCCTATAATCAGTAAGAATATTGAAGCTGAAACTGATTGGATATTTCAGCAAGTCAAGGATCTTTAAAAAAGACTAAAAAATTTTGGAATGGCCTTAATAGCCCCAACAGTTGAATATTATTGAAAATCCTGGGGAGATGTTAAACATGGACTGGGTGCAAAGATACCGCAGAGAATTCACAAAGAAAGTGTGGAAAAAACTCCCAAACCAAATATCTAATTTCATAAAGATTGGTTGAGAATGAAATATTTTAAAAAATTATTTCAAAATGCTTTCACTTTTTGCTTTCAGTTTGAATAGAATAGAATAGAATAGAATAGAATAGAATAGAATAGAATAGAATAGAATACTTTTATTGGCCAAGTGTGATTGGACACACAAGAAATTTGTCTTGATGTAAATACTCTCAGTTTACATAAAAAAAGATACATTCATCAGGAGTCAAGAATCATAAGGAATGACACTTAATGATAGTCATATGGTAATCAATCATAGTCATAAACAATCATATTAGGAAACAGTCAATATAAATCGTAAGTATACAAGTGACAAAGTTACAGTCATACCGTCACAAGTGGGAGAGGATGGGTGATAAGGAGCGATGACAAGATTTAACAGTAATAGTAGTACTTTGAAATAGTTGAACAGGATTGAGGGAATTATTTGTTTAGCAAAATGATGGCTTTCGGGGGAAAAACTGTTCTTGTATCTAATTGTTCTGGTGTGCAGTGCTCTATAGCGTTGTTTTTGAGGGAAGGAGTTGAAACAATTTATGTCCAGGATGTGAGGGGTGTATAAATATTTTCACAGCCCTCTTTTTGACATGTGCAGTATACAGATCCTTGATGGAAGGCAGGTTGGTAGTAACTGTTTTTTCTGCAGTCCTAATTACTCTCTGAAGTCTGTGTCTGTCCTGTTGGGTTGCAGAACCAAACCAGTTATAGAGGTGCAGATGACAGACTCAATCATTCCTCTGTAGAACTGGATCAGCAGCTCCTTGGGCAGTTTGAGCAGTTTGAGTTGGCGCACAAAGAACATTCTTTGTTGTGCTTTTTTGATGACATTTTTGATGTTAGGTGTCCATTTTAGGTCATGTGATATAGTAGAAACTAGAAATTTGAAGGTCTCTACTGTTGATACGGTTTTTTCTAGTATTGTAAAAGGTGGTAGTATTGTAAGAGGTGGTAGTTTCTTCTAAAGTCTACCACCATTTCTACAGTTTTGAGTTTGTTCAGTTCCAGATTGTTCTGGTTACACCATGAGGCAAGTTGTATAACCTCCTGTCTGTATGCGGATTTTAGAGGTTTTTGTATTACCTCCTATACAAAAGAAACCCAAAGCTGTACATATCTTGATTTTCCTCATACTGTATGGTTTATGCTTGGAATGTGGTTAGAGCAGATACACTGGTTTTCTTAGACACTAACCAACTTTAAAAATAAGTCCATTGTGATACTGTAAGCTAATGACATAAGGAGAGAAAAATGGAGAATCAGTCAATATAATAAAACATACAAAATAATTATTCCTGTTCTGTATAATTAGCAGTGTTTTTACCTAAACATACTTGTGCTAATCATTGTTACAAAGTATTTTAAAGCTTTCCTTAATATAAATATTAGATATTTTAATAAATATGTTAAAGAAAGAAAAAAGGAAAACTCAAGATGCTCTTCATCTCAGTGCTTCATCCAAGGAAATATCAGCAACAGAAAGTTCCTTTGATTTGAAAAACATGGAGACTGAGCAGATGTTGCCTGTCATTTTGGAAACAAAATCTAATTCTCACTCGAAAAGCCAAGGTCAGTCATACAATTTATTCACAAATATTGAATTATTGCATAGTCATCTTTGAGTATACTGTGTGGAATAAGAAGACTGAAAATAGCATATCTATGTAAATTATTTGTTTATACTGTGAATATACAAAAATTGTTGCCTAAGTTTCTCAGTATCATAAATAATTTTCATATTGAGAGAAAAAACATTCTCTAAAAATACATAACTAAGAAATCTGTCTCTGTGAACTTCACTGTCATCAGATAGGCTGCTGTCAACTGCTTCAGTGTCTCCATACAGCCCCCTGATTCTCTGTCATCTTCTTTTACTCTCAATCGTTCCCAGCATTAGGCTTTTCTCCAGTGAGTTTAAATAATAGTATACAAAAACTACAGTTGTGGGAGACCTTCTCTGTATTAGTAAAAAGTGTTATGTGACTGTCCTGACTATCCAAGGAGAAAGAAAAATTGAATAGTTCAAAAACCAATGCTTTAAAACACCCATTATACAAATCCCGTTTGTTTTAATAACCTATTAATGCATTAGTACAATGTTGAAGAACTTACTTGTGTTGCAGAGATGGTTGATTTAGCTTAAATTAAACTACATATTCTAACCAAAGTATGTTGTTTTAATACTTGTTTCTATTGTCCATATGTCATAAAAAGTTCTCTAGCAAAAGTAAATAAGTGCTGCTGCTTTTGTGGATTGCTCTTGAGAGAAGCTGTGTATTGTTATAACTTTCTTTTCTCCTTTCTTCACTCTTGTCCTTATTCTCCAAAAGACAGGCGTTCTTTTTAGAAAATAATATAGGCAAGGTCCCAATGTTTTCCTGTTCTATGGCACTCAATCAGAATAGGGCTGGAAGGGACCTTGCAGGTCTTCTAGTCCTGCCCCCTGCTCAGGCAGGACACCCTATACTAATTTCAGATAAGTGACTGTCTACTCTCTTCTTAAAAACCTCCAGTGATGAAACATCTACAACTTTTGAAAACAAGCTGTTCCACTGGTTCTCACTATTAGGAAATTTCTCTTTAATTCCAAGTTGCTTCTCTCCTTGAGTAGTTTCCAACCATTGTTTCTTGTCCTGCCTTCAGGTGCTGTGGAAAATATGACCCCCTCCTCTTTGTAGCAGCCTCTCAAATACTGGAATATAGCTCTCATGCCCCCGCCCCCACCTAGTCCTTCTTTTCTCTAGACTAGCTATACTCAAATCCTGCAATTGTTCTTCCTATGTTTTAGTCTCCAGGCCTTTAATCATCTTACTTATTCTTCTTTGCACTTTTTCCAAAGTCTCAACATCTTTTTTGCAATGTGATGCACTATTCTAGGTGTGGTCTTATTAAAGTGATACTAATACTTCTTCACATGATTTTGATTCTATGCCTCTGTTTATATAAACAAGGATTGTTATTAGTTTTTTTTGGCTGCTGCCGCACTACTGACTCATGTTTAAGTGATCTTACAAACTCTCATTACTGAACTTTGGGACTATCCTTAAACAGGAGGATTACCTACCTGATCCTATCACAATATTGATCAGAAATGCAATATTTGATTTCTATGGTATTTATTAATGCATGCAGTAAAAAATAGAAAGATACATTCAGCAGCAGCAGCTATTTCAACATACAACATTGTACGTTTTAGCAGGATTTGTGTCTGCAAGCAGTAAGGAGGTATAAATTTGATTTAATTAGGGTTCCTACACTGAGCATGAAGTTGGATTTAATGGCTTCTTCCAACTCCTTGATTCTGTTATTATATTGTGATGTGGTAGTGAATTAGGATAAAGATTATCTCTCCAATAATAAATATTTGTGATGTAAAAATAAATCTGGATGCACAAATATCGGAATTTGTTAGACTCAGAAGTGGAATGTTATAACTTTCTTTGGGAATATAAATATTTTTTGAAATATGGAAAAACTGATGTTAGAGTTGAGGTTTTCTAGACAGAAATCTTTTTGGCTTTTAGCAGGTTTATTTAATTAACCAGATATTGGTTCAGAATTATTTACAGCTGTACGATCTATCTCAGTATGCTTCATGTGAAAAAAACAATTTAAAAGGGTAGAATATTCAGGAGTTTCCATACTGTATTCTGTACCTTTTTTATCTTAACCAAAATAGACAAAAGAATTCAGATAGCAGAGAGATAAGCAGGTATTTGAAAAATAATTATATTTTATTAGTATTAATAAATCTTGATAGTCCATGAGTCCATATCAAAAATAAGTAAAATAAACCCTTGCTAAATGTGCTAAAATGTCATATTTTATTATTCATAATACACTTTCTTATTTTGTCTTTAGGAATTCCCCTCCCCGCTCCCCCCTGAAAATTACCCAGATGCAGGGAAAGAATTGATTTTGTCTAACACGCCAGCAAACTTGGCCAAACCCAAACACACTATGTTATAGTTTAGTATAAGGTTCTTATCGACGACATAGAAATGTGAGCATAAATTTTAAATGTTAGATTTAAATGAATTATTTTATTGATTTGGTAAAAAATATTACAGAATATACATTCTGACATTACAACTCTAAAAATGTTTCAGGGACATTGACATAATATTTAAGCATCCTTAGCATTCTGTTGTTTCATATTCCTTAACACATGTTTTGGGACATTGTTCTTGATATTATTTTATTTTGCTACAATGTCCGCTGAAAATTCTGCAAAAGTAGCTTGAAACTACACACTCAATGGCAAAAAAAATAATTAAAACACAATTGAAATAGTGTAGGATTTTTTTCCTGTTCTCTATGAACTTAAGCTACATTAATTTCTTGAAATGGAGGTCATGAAAAAATATAAATCAAGATGTCATTTCCAGACTTATTCGTGACAATCAGTTTTGCAAGCATGAAGGTTTCTAAATTAGATTAAAACTGCCAGTTTAGGGGAGACCTTAATCTCCCCAAAGCCTTAGGGAATCTAAAGCATTTTAACTTTTTAATTAATTGCTGTAATCTGCTTCAACTGCAACATTCTTTTAGAGTATTCTGTAATGACCAGATGAGTTTAAAGAGAATAGAAAGTTAAAAAGATTCATGGAACCTCATATAATGTTTCATGATTCATCTTGCTTGGCTATTTAAAAAGCAATTGTTTTTCTACAGAAATATTGAAGAATTAGTGAGAAATATTTCTGTTTTTTTTTTTACTGGTATGATTTGATTTACTTCATGACGTTTAATGAAATGAAATGTCTACCTAAACTACCGATAATACATTTTGGAAAAACTGAAGACACTGTTTTCTATATTATCTAACATCCAAAAATCACACTAATAATTTCCACATTTTTAAACATCTACCAATCACCAAAGTCATATTTATTGACCCTTGTTTTTAAATAATGACATAACAATTCAGTTGTACATATAAATTGCTAAAATATGTTCTATTGATTTTAATATATTTCCTTTTCATATAATGAAAGTGGCAGCTTTTTGTATAACCACTTTCAAGAAATATTCTACATACTAGTTCTCATGACCCTTCTGATATGATTAAGTCACTACAAGTTGACTCTATTACACAGCTTGACTCAAATGAAGTAGTTATGAAATAACAAGACATTTCAAAAATGCAAGTTATGACATATATAGCTGAACTTATTTTTTAAAGCCTTTTAATTTTAAGTTGAGTTGTAAATGCATTGTTTGAGGAAGCCATACATGACCTACAGTAAAAGTATTACATGTTATTTAATTTTGCTATATTAAAATACAGTTCAAAGATTCATTCAAGGATTTTTTTTCAACTGACTTTTATGGACATCGAATACACTGTTTTTCACAATAATACTTGTATACATAAATGACAAAAATAAAGAGTTTATAGTAATTCTTATCAGGGGTGGGATTCAAATTTTTTAACAACCAGTTCTGTGGGCATGGATAGGTGGGTGTGGCCATGTGACTGGCTTTTTTTTTTTTTGCAGCACCCCCTCATTCTTGGCCTCCTGGGCCTCAGGGAAGCCTCCTGGAGGGGCATTTTTGCTCCCAGAAGGCTTTCCTGGGGCCCAGGAAGGCAAAATGGAGCTCAGGCAGTGCATGCAGCACCTCCCTGTGCTCTGTTTTTGGGTCTCTTGGGCCTCAGGGAAGCCTCCCGGGGGCATGTTCTATTTAGTAGTGCATTAGATGTGCAAATAGTGACCTCTAATTAATTATACCAAAAGGGAATCTATGCATCAGAACCCACACTCCAAAAATGAGCAGGCTGAGACATTTTTTTTACTGAATTAATATTTTATTATTAAAATGAATTGCCCCTAAGAGAAAGTATTTAATTTATATGGTTATTCATTCCCCATCTGAATATACCAATCGTTCTATCTCACAGGCAGAAATCATTTTCATACACATAACACAAGTACACAAACACACAGTATGCCCACCTCATGTCTTCCAACACAAACAGCAAAAAAGAAGAAATACAAAAGAAATGGAGGTATTGAAGGTATTGTTGAGAAAAGTTCAAAATTCATTAGCCAAGCAGCTGCAATGAAGTGCTCCTCATTCAAGTTATACTGTCAGGAAATATAAATGACAATGTTCAAATAATTTGGATGAGAATATCTTCCTATTAGGCACTATATTAATTCAAGGTGGAATATATGTTCAATAATTTGTTAAAAGTTTGTGTTTGTTAAAAGTTAAGAGAGAGACAGGGGGAGCAGGGAGAGTGGGAGAGTGAGAGAGATTTCTGATACAATATAAACACTTTTGGGAGGTTTGGATGTGGTAGCAACACTGGGTGGGGCTCATGAAGTTCTTGTGGCTTTGACTTCAGATTTGCTTCTATCTATTCCTACTAGTTTCTGCCAACTCTGACATGCTTTAATCCAGCCCAACTTTCCTCTTTGTACCTACTAATTTGGGGGCTTTTAAAGTGTGTGTCCATATGCATGAAGTCATTGCTTGAGATTCTAAAATTGGCCAAGACAGCCTATTCTTATTCTTGTTTATTCTGATTATGCTGCAAGTCAAAGATAGGGTTTTATTTTTGT